ATGGCGAGGGGGGGGTGGCTGAGGACATCTGTAGGTCTGGGCTCGGCCTCCAAAGGAACGGGAACCATCGCCCAAGCCCCTGAAACAAAAAAATACTCCTCAGCCTCCCCCCCCCCCCTCAGGCATAATCTGAACTCACCCTCACTGCGCAGCCCTCACTCAGAACAATTTCCCTTTGCCCTGGGCCTCGATAATGCGAGCGACCTCCCTCTCGAGCGGGCCTCGGGGTGCGGCCCCTGCGTTGCGCACTCCATTGAGTGTCACCATCGGCTTCAAGATCAGCTGGCGCAGGTTGTTCGCATGCTCGCGGTTCGGTCCCAGCGCCCAGACGATCCCCCCCTTCGGCACGTCTGCGTTCCCTTTCTTGCCCTGCCAACGAAAATGAAGGACCAGCTCCGACAACTGCTGCGGGGTGGACTTCGTGATCACTGCATCCCAGAACTCGCGCCACCCCCTCTACAGATCGCCCTCGAACTTGTTCGCTGCCCAGATGACGCCCGCGGAAAAGATCTGGACGTGCGGTGGGCCCCTCGAGCCCCAGTCGATACTCTGACCCTGGGCCCGCTTCTCTTTCCAGCCCTTGCTCTGCGAGTCGTAGCGCTTGCCCGCCTCGCGGAGGGCCGCGGGCATGCCGTCGTCGCCGTCGGCGACCTCGAACGTGGTAAAGACCGCGCCGATGGCTTCTGCGATGGCGCGGCTGTCTGCCAGGACCAGGCGCGCCAGCACGTAGAGCAACTTCTTGTCGTCCTCCGACTTCCCCCCCCCCCCCGTGCGCGGCTCCTTGGGAGCGGGTGGCCATGCGAAAAGTGGGCTCTCGCGCAGCTGCTTCATCCATCCTGGCATCGCTACGTCGGCCGTGCTCATTGCCACGGTCAAGTGGGATCAGCCTCGCAAGAAGATGCTGGGCAATATGGCTACAGAGGTCGGCAAGGTCGGACCCCTCGAACTCGCATATCGCGCATGCTAAACTCGTCGGTCCATGAACATCATATAATTTTGCGGGGCCCCTGGTACTGCATATGCCTTTTGCGACCGACTGCGATGAGTGGCGACCAGCAATTATCCTGGATGCGAACGAGCGGCGACAGTAGATGCATACATTGGTAGGCGATAGTAGATGGCCGAAGTTTCGAACTCTATGTCGATGTCGAATATGCTCTAGTAGGTATCGCTTTGTACGAACAGCAGCAGGACATGTTGTTCCCCCGTCGGGCCATTCGCACTTCCACGGTAGAGGTGGCGCCTCTTCCCCCCCCAGCAGGCGCCTCTGGCGCATACTCGGGGGGAGGGATGGCTGCGCGGAGCTCGCGTACTCGCAGCTCGGTAAAATCAAGCCGACGGAATTATTTAGCCACATTTGGGTCCAAGAACTCCAAAGGGTCGCCGGCGAGGTGCACCAGCGGATCAGACTCCATCTGAGCGGCCGCCACGCGGAAGTCGCCCTGAACGCGTTTGGCCCAGGGAGAAGCATATCTCGTCAGCCTTGGGTGGGCCGTCGGTCGGCATGGGCGGGCCCCATTCCCTTGTTCAAACTTCATCCTGCCGAACAGAGAGCAGAGCACATGGGCATTTTCCTTTGGGTATTTACTCCAGTCCTGATACCATCGAAGTCGTCGTAATCGCATTTCGATCTCGCAACGGGCGATCTTCCAAAACTTTAAAACCTGGTCGTTCGTCCATGTGCGGATCTTCTTCTGAACCTCCTCCCCCTGCCCTGAGATGACCTCCCCCTGCATTCCTCGTCCTCGGAGAGGGACACGGGCAAGCTGAGCAAGTCGCGAATCCTGTATTTGGTACTGTACATCAGAAATGTCGAGCGCCTCGAGGCCGCTCAGCATAGCATTCTGCACCATGCTGATAAACACTGTGCGCGACCATTTCCACGGGACCGAGAGCCCCAAAAAAACCTCCCATGCTGTAGAACCCATTCGACGCTGCTTCTAGACGCCTCTGAACTGCCGAGGATGACGTGCAGGATAAGTTGATATGCGGACCTAAGTATCGAGCTTCCTCTTGGAGACTGCCCCCGAGTTCTCTGACTGCGTTTGCTCGCATCCATCTTCTGCACTTCAGAGAACCCCCCCCCCCTCCCACATGGAACAGAAAAACTTATTTGTCGAGGTTCTGCTTATAGCCTATGGCATCCAGGGCCTCATCGAGGATCTCGTCTGAGCGCTTGAGCACCTGGAAAAATTCAGAGACGGGCTGAGAATCATGTGCGAGCGTGAACTTCAGCAGGTCGTCTGCGTACTTAAAAAGGCTGAGGTCGGTAGAAATGTCCTCGCCTGTTCCTGGCAATTTTATAGTCGCCTGTAGGTCTGAGGAGGTCGGGTGTTGATCTAGCTGCATCCATCGCGTTACTGGCCTTCGGAATGCGCCCAAGAAGAGTTACCACATACGGGTCTCCCATCGTTCCTCCTTCCCTCGGCGCCACCCATAGGTCCTCCTCATCATCGTCGGTCGGTAAATTTACTTGTGTTTCTCGATACCTTTATTTTCCCAGTGCGACGTCATCGATCGTCGAGGCGAATATCCCCACCGTCTTGTCGAGCTCCCTCCAGTCCCCCGTCCCGAAGGCGTTTGACAAATCCTTGAAGCCCGCAGCGAAGCTTCTGCCTGCCCCTGTGAGCCTCCACGCGGTGGCTCGCGCACCAAGTATTGCGCCTTCTCGGCGCCTCCGCTTGACAAAGCCGACGTCAAACTCATCGGCGGGAACGCGCAGCAGGCCGGCGTAGAAAGACCCCCCTAAAGCTGGGAACAGATGCGCGACTCTTTCGCCCTTCGGGCCGTGAGCAGTGCTCTTGCGCAGTGCAACTCCATTGCTGTGATGCCATTGGGATGGAGTCAAATCGAGGTTCCGTATCAGTCTAAAGCCTGCCAGCAACGCGCCTTCAAAAAATCGCATATCTGGAATATTATCTGAAGCTCCGAGACCCAGACGTTGCCGAAAGAGTTTTTTCGGGGGGGCGCATGCGCATCTGCCACAATTCCACGGGCGGGGTGTTTTGGGGGACTCCTCTTCTTCTTGGGGCCTTCTGGATCGCCTCCTGGACTCGTTCGTAATCCTCCTGGGCCATGTTGATCACGTCGGGGGTGGGCGGGTGGAGCGGACCTGGAAAAAACAGCTTCAGGGGGCGCGAGAGGAGGATCTTCAACTACTGACATGCCTCCTGGTCCTCCTGGAAGGGTCCAAACCTGAAGCCGTTCGTCACGACTGGGCATGCTCGTGCGAACTAATATGAGGTCTCGCTTTTTTGGGCCGAAGCGGCACCTGACTGCCTGGCGTGAAAGCCTCATTGCTAGTGCTGTCTTTCTCTGTTCCCTAGCTGTCTCTATATCTTCTTGGATCTGGTTCCTGCGGATCAAATTCTCCCGACGACGACTTAGTTTGAGGGTCTGAGAGAGGGCCTTCAACTGCGCGCCGATGTCGTGCATGTCCGCATGGTCCTCACTCTTTTTTTCCCTCAGCTCGGCTCGCCGTCTAAGGAGTTCGCGGCGCTGTTGTTTTTTTTTCTTGACGGACTGGGTCAGCCTGCTCACGAAATACATCGAGTCCAGCTCTCATCAGTACTTTATCCAGGTAATCAAAGAATGCATATGGGGTGCCACTGTCCAGCAGCGGCAACCATGATTCCATTTGCTCCTCCAAAGTACGCTCCACTTGGATAAGAAAAGATGCCTTGCCATCCCCCTCGCCCTTCAGTGCATCCAGCAATTTGTCTTTGTCAAAGTACGGCTCGCGATGTGGGCGAGCAACCGTGGGGTCTTTTGATACATTGAGCTCCAAAAAGAGAGGTAGGTGATCGAGTGGGGGCTTCCCTCGGTACGCTTGAAGTTGTGCCCCCAGTCGTCGAAGGGTATGACATCTATTGACCTGCTCTGCGTATCCCCACGGCGCGAATATATAATCAATCAGACTGCTTCCTTTCTCGCTGAAATACGTGTGTTCTCGCCGCCCTCGAGTGTTATAAGCGAACATATGATGTCTGGCGGTGATTCGTCTGAGTGGTTATCCTGCACCTCCTCTGCGTGCTTCACGGGTCGCATTCTCCACGACATTCTCCTCACATGTTTGCCATTCCGTCGTATATCTGCATAAACCAATGCCATCATTCGCATCTGTGTATATTATCGGACAGCATCGATGTGGGAGCGAATCAAGTATTCGGTCCAGCCACGTGGCGAGGGTGCGCACGGTGGTCAGGTAGTGGCCCACGTCGTTCCTGCCCTTCGGCTGGGGGGGAAGTATATGACGATGAAACAATAATCGAGATGTTGTTTTTTGACCCTCAAGCCGAGTGCTCTTCCCCATGCTTGATCGGGGCTGCCCCAAATCTGTCTGATGTGTGACTGTTGAAATCTTCGTCCAAGTGCAATTGCGCATCCCGTGCTTTTGTTCGTCACCTGCCCAGGGCTGCACTCTGCCTCCACCACGAGCTTGCCCATGACGTGCCTCTGCACTGGGGCCTGTGCACGTCGACTACATGCTTGTGTGCCTGCCACTAGTAAAACATCGATCGCCGCACATACTGTGAGAATTTCCTCCAATCTCATTCCCGTGGCCGACTGTGGGTTCCAGCCGATCAGGCGCAGCATCCTCGGCCACAGAGCCCAGCTCCCATGGCTGAGCGCCCCCCTCTGCTGTCTGCGGGGGGGTCTCGTGCGCCGCCTGCGAATCTCTAGGGCAGGGACGGCGGCTGGAGGAGGAGGAGGAGGAGGAGGAGGAGGAGGAGGAGGAGGAGGAGGAGGAGGAAGGAAGACGGCAGGGGCAGGAGGAGGAGGGGGGAGGAGGAGGAGGAGGAGGAGGAGGAGAGGAGGAGGAGAGAGGAGGAGGAGGAGGAGGAGGAGGAGGAAGAGGAGGAGGAGGAGGAGGAGGAGGAGGAGGAGGAGGAGGAGGAGGAGGAGGAGGAGGGGCAGGGGCAGGAGGAGGAGGAGGAGGACGACGACGACGAGGGGCCTGTCAACTGGACTATCAGCCCGCGGCGGGTGGGCGGGGCCGCCTCCGGGGCCGGGCTGGGCGCGCACTGCTGGATGGTGCCCAGGAAGTGCTGCACGGCCGCCGCCTGGACGTCCTGCGACGGGCGCCGCCGCGCTCGATGCGTTGCGCCCGTGGGCGCGCGCGAGGCTGCCTGGGCCGCCTCGCTTGGGCGCGCGAGGCCCTGCGCCCGGGGCGCTCGAGGCTGCCCTGGCCGCCTCGCTTGGGCGCGCGAGGCTGCCTGGGCCGCCTCGCTTGGGCGCTCGAGGCTCTGCGCCCGGGGCGCTCGAGGCTGCCTGGGCCGCCTCGCTTGGGCGCTCGAGGCTGCCTGGGCCGCCTCGCGCTTGGGCGGCAAGCTCTGGGAGGCCTTCGAGGGCGCGAACCATCGGCGGCGCGCCCGGGGGTGTAGAGGAGAAAGAACTATGCTTAAGTCGGGCCTGTCCCCCTACAGGGGGATTTTCGACGAAAAATTTAAAATACCCAAAACAATACTCCCAAATTGTCAAAAAATACTCAAAAAATGGGCCCTGCCAGGATCGGTGCAAGTGCATAGTTCTCTTCGCCCGAGGGGGGGGAAATCGAAGGGGGCGGGCCTTCTCGGAAGGCTCGGAAGAGGCCTCCGGCCTTCTGAGCAGTCTTCGGGGCCTTCTCTCAAGGCGGAAGCGGCTTCCAGGAGGCTCGAGCGGTTCTGAGGAGCCCCGCCGCATTCTGAGAAGGCCTGCCCCCCATCTCACTTCCTCCCCGGGGTCGCCGCAGAAACAAGACATGTGAGAAATCTGGGGGCCTCGTGCGGCAACTGGAGACCAAATTTCCGTTGGGTCCACATCGGATTTACGTCGGGTTCACGTCGGATTGCGTCGGATGTACCACGAATACACGTCGGACTTACGTCGGAAGATCGCCGCAAGAACGTCGTCGGATATATGACGGGGCGGAGGTGCGGACTAGAGAATAATGACAACTATTGCGCGCCGCGCGAGACCTCCAGGATGTCCCTCCTGGTAAAACCTGTCAGGTACGACGAACCTAGCACTGGGACAACATCGGACCAAGACGAATCGGAGATCTCTGAGAACCGTCGTTTCTGGAGGATGGACGTATCGGGCGCCGCAGCCATTTCAGAGCGCCCCGGAAAGGTCTGAGGGCGTTCTGGAGCGCTCAGAAACAACGCATTCCAGTCCTAGCCCCGCCCGACCGGGCCAGACTGAGAGCCAGGGGGCCAGATGCAGCCAGGTTCAGCCCCAGATGAGGCCACACTGACCCAGAGTACGACAAACCTCTGCCGAACGATCCCCCGCCACGGAAGCGACTCTGTGGCGGGGGCCGCCATGCATACCATGGCCCCGCGCTCGGCTAGGCGAGGCTACTCCCGATCGACCCGAAGGCCGTGCCAGTCGAGAACTCGGGGGGAACATCCTGGCCAGTTCCTCCGGCACCCGGGCGATCACGTGATCGTCGTGCCTGAAGGGGAACTGGGACACACAAATAAATAGACACAAGTAACCAGATTCCCCATATTTTCACATATCTTCTGGGTTTTTGTCTTCCCCCCACTTCCCATAGTTTACCATACTTTCTGGGGAGTCGACGATGAATTGTGTCTGTGTTTTTTCCCTCCTGAGTGCCTGGATGCTTCCGAGGCAGGCAGGCGCGGGAGCAGGAGGGGAAGGAGCGGGGAGGGGGAGGGGCGCCCACGCGAGGAGCCTCCGAGAGGGGCGGGGCCGGAGAGCGCCCGCCAAGAGAGGGCGCCCGGCGCGCGCTGCTGGCAAGGGCCGCTGCTCTCAGGCCCATGCACGATTCACAGAACACGGATGTTCCGGCTCCTCCTCCTCCTCCTCCTCCTCCTCCTCCTCGTCCGCCTCCTCCTCCTCCTCCTCCTCCTCCTCCTCCTCCTCGTCTCCTCCTCCTCCTCCCTCCTCCTCCTCCTCCTCCTCCTCCTCTCCTCCTCCTCCTCTCCTCCTCCTCCTCCTCCTCCTCCTCCTCCTCCTTCCTCCTCCTCCTCCTCCTCCTCCTCCTCCGTCCTCCTCCTCCTCGGATGTTCCGGCTCATGCCGCGGTGGTGTTGCGGCCACGCCGATCCACAGTGGTGCCGAGGGAAAGGGGCAGGATCGGGGGCGGCGAGAGGGGCGAGCAGCCCATTGGGCGGGCACTACCCGTGTTCGCCCGGGAGCCTTGTCGAAGACATGGATCATCGGCACCCCTGGCTGGATACATGTACACGATCTATAAGGAACGTAGCCCCTTTTTTCTTCCAGGGAATAACGCATGAGCAACAAGAGATCATAGATAACGCAGCAAGAAACGACGAAGTAACGCATTCAAGCCTAAGGAACGACCAAGCCCCTTTTGAAACGCAAGTGTTCCTTATTCAAGCCGCTCGCTGTATTGCTTCCCCCCCTGGGCTGTTCGCCTTTGTCGTCGCCTCCGAGAATCGGCGCTGGACAAGCCTCCCTTTAGTAGACCTCCTCTCAGTGAAAGCGGCCTGGGACCGAAACCGATGGACCTGGGCCCGCGAAAATGACGGCCGCGACGCCCTCCCGCGAACCGAAAACAGCCGAGCCACTGATCGACGTGTCAGGGTAGGAGGCCTGTCCAGCCCCGAGAGAGAAGAGAAGCAACCGCCCAGACTCGCTCTTGCCCCCTCTCGCCCCCAACTCGAGGGCAGCTGCTGCGTGAAGAGAGAGAGCCTCCCAGGCCCCGAGGCTCTCTCCCTCTGCACCTGCGCGCGGCCCGACCCGCCTCGGGAGAGCCCACGGTCGAGCCGAGACGCGGCACCGGCGATCGAAATGCATCGGGTCGGCAGAACTCGGTAGCCAACTTAGATAGGGGGCCACATGCGAACCCTACCCCTACCCCCCACGATTTCTGAGGGGGAGGGGGGGGTTCACTTCGCTAGGGAGCTCCCGAATGGAGTGAACCCCACCCTCCCCCTCAGAAATCGTGGGGGGTAGGGGTAGGGTTCGCATGTGGCCCCCTATTAGGAGAAGTCGAACCGGCAGACATTGGCAGGTCAGGAGGCCGCCCCTCGAGAGAGAGAGCGGGATCCAGGTCGGAACCCGAAGCCGAAGCGAGTCGGACTCGGAGCCGGCATCCATCGAAATCAAGTCGGATCGAATCAGAGAAATCGAGGTGAGCCCCGCCATCCTTCGCACTATCGCGCCGCCCGCCCCCCTAAAACAGGTCTAGGATCGGGATAAATCGCTCCAGAGCGTTCCGGAGCGCTCTCAGAGCGTTCCGGAGCGCTCTCAGAGCGGCCGCGGCGCCCAATACATCCTCCAAACCCGCCGATTCTCAGAGATTTCGAGTTATCCCGATCCGATTTTGTCCCGATCTTCGCGTCGTTTTACCCCCGCACCCCCCTGGAGGAGGCCTGGGCCAGGAGGGACCGACGAGGGCCGAGGATCGAGGGGCATCGAGGTTAGAGGAGGGTCGAGGACCGGGCATCGAGGGGCATCAAGGATCGACGAGGGGTTGAGGAGGGTCGAGGAGGATCGAGGGGCAACGAAGACCGAGGAGGTTTCGAGGATCGGGGAGGATCGAGGATCGCGTCGAGGAGAATCGAGGGTCGAGGGTCCTCGAACCCCCCCTCCTCCCTCAAATCCTTGAACCTCGCTCCTGGAATCTCAGGTGTTGGGCACCCGGCCCAGGAAACCCTGGAACCGCTTGATATAGGAAACCTCCGGTTCCACGGGGGCACTGGATAGTCTCTACTTTGGGCAGAATATTATCCTCAAAAACTCGAGTTCAATGCAATCTGGGGCGGCCCCAGCGCGAAAACAGAAGGCCCGAATTAGGAGTTATCCCTGATACCACTACTACCACTACTACCACTACTACCACCACTACTACTACTACTACTACTACTACTACTACTACTACGACGACTTACTACGACGACTTACTACGACGACTTACTACAACTACTACTACTACTACTACGACGACGACGACGACGACGACGACGACGACGACGACGACTACTACTACTACTACTACTACTACTACTACTACCTACTACTACTACTACTACTACTACTACTACTGCTACTACTACTACTACTACTACGACGACGACGACGACGACGACGACAACGACGACGACGACGACGACGACGACGACGACGACGACGACGACGACGACGACGACGACGACTACTACTACTACTACTTCTACTACTACCACGACTAACTACTACTACTACTACTACTACTACTACTACTACTACTACTACTACTACTACTACTACTACTACTCCTGCTACAAGTCCGCCTCCGCCTCCGCCTTCTACGCCTCCTACTACTACTCCACATCCGCCTCCGCCTCCGCCTCCACCTCCGCCTCCTTCCTCCTTCCTCCATCCGTCCCCTCCTCGCGGGGCCGGGCGCCTGGGCCGAGGAGGAGACGACGGCGGCAAGCCCCTTGGCCAGCGTGCCTATCACGTGGCGCTGGGCCTGTCGGGAGCCCCCAGCGCGGGCCCCGTCCCCCTGCAAGGTGGGGCCAGAGCAGAGCAGGACCCGGAAGATCGCACACCAATTGCCCATGCACCCCGGGACATGCCTGCGTCGTCAAAAAAAAACGCGACGGGGAGATCGCGACCGTTTTCACCCTCTGGCGCCCTCGCCAGTCCCCGGGGCTGTCAAGAAACGACTCGGGATGAAACACCAGCCTTGTGGATGCCAGGAAAATGGACACCCTAACAGTCCTACAGTCGGGGCGTTGACCTAAGGAACCCTAAATAAGGAACGGGGCCCCTTTCTCCCATAAGTTGAACTTCGATTTGCCATGGAAAACCTCAGGAAAACAAAAGGCAAACTGCAGAACAATCAAGGAACACCGAGCCCCTCCCCAACGAAAAGGGTTCCTTCTTCAGGGCCCCGACTGTATCATTGAACTTAAAATGTGTTTAAAACGTCGGACAAGTGTTCTAAACATGTCTTAAACATGTTTTCACATGGTTGAAACTGGTTTTAAAACATGTGTTAGACATCTGGAAACTATTTGGCAACATGCTTCCTCTCCATTGATCGTCCTCCACAGCACCAGCCCTGGGGAAGGGTCGGGACTTCCGAGGACAGCGCCTTGAAAACAACATCTCGGCGGCAACGCACCCTAAGAGAGCAACAGAGGTGAAGAGGCGGGTCGAGCAGCAGGTCGGCTAGGGGGCACGGGTCAGCGCACGGCCATGGGCACTGCAGTGTTTCTGCTTACTCGGGGATGGACAGACCCCCCTTTCGTAAAACGTGGTTTAGTGAAAACGACCTGAGGCCCAAACCTGGCGGGCGCGAGCCTTGAAAACAACGGCCACGGCGCCCTCTCGAGAACCGAAAACGGACAATGCCCTAATCGACGTGCCACTGTTGGGGGGTCCGCCCACCCCCGATTTTTACAAAGGAACGTGGCCGTCCGGACCAAAAACCTGGCCGGCACTCATCGGGGTCGCGCAGGCATGGATCTGAAGGGGCCCTGGGGCACACAAATAAATACACACAAATAACAGGCTTCCCCATATTTTCCCAGATTTTCTGGGTGTTTGTCTTCTCCCCCACTGCCCATATTTGCCTATATTTTCCTGGGAGTCGACGATTAATTGTGTCTGTGTGTCTCTTTCCCCTCCTGACAAGCATGGACCAGCGATCCATGGACTTGGCGCACGGCCGCCAGATCCATGGACCGGGGGAGGTGCCCTCCCCAAAGGGCCCCCGGTGCCGCCTCGCTCGGCGGCGGCGATCCGCGATCTCCTGCGGAAACGGGACCCGTCGCTGATCCACGCCCCCTCGATCCGTCTCTGCGCTCGCCCGAATTAGGGGGACAAAAAGTGGCATAAACATAAAAACTCGGAGGTCCGCGCGGATTTCTCGGATCGGCGCTGGGGCCCCCCGGCGGCGCCTCTGGCGCCGCCACTGGCGCGCTCCGCGCGCTAGAGAGGGGGGTTCAGCGCAGATCCGAGAAATCCGCGCGGACCTCCGAGTTTTTATGTTTATGCCACTTTTTGTGCCCCTAGATCTGCCCACCCCCATCCCAGGCTTCGTGGGTGTCCAAATAAGACCAGCAAGGGGGGCCCCCAGCGCCGATCCGAGAAATCCGCGCGAACCTCCGAGTTTCTACGTTTGTGTAACTTTCTGTTCCCCTGTGAATTCAGGCGAGAGCACGATTCCTCGACGCGTGTACGGCAGGTTCGTGTCGTGCCGACCCCAGCGTTGGTTTTTGACACCGCAGGGATCGTTCAACCTTGAACGATCGGCCGTCTCCGCAACGTCCGATCGTTCAACATCGACCGATTCTAGGCCGCCGTCGGCGTTCAACGTTGAACGTCGGCGGCGGGGTCGCCGCTGGTCGACACGACGCAAACCTACCGTAGCGGAGGTCTCGGGCCGAGCGGCGGCCGGGCCGGGCGACCCCTTGCGGGGGCGCTCCCGGGCTCTCCGTCCCCCCGTGTGGGGCCACTGTGTGGTTCTCGCCGTCGCTCGGGCGTCCATTTCCCGTGCACTTTTCGGTTTCGTGCGCGCTTTTTTTTTTTTTGCTCGATGGTCCAGGATGGCCCTCGATGGTTCTGGCCGAGAACAAAGGCACACGTCCGAGCGATGCCAAGAGGAGGGAGTCAAGACACCGCGTGCCTGGGTCGGCGATCCCTATCGTCCTCGGGCGTCGCTGCGCTCTCAGGCGTGGGCCCTCCCGCCCAGCTCGACCCCTGCGCCCTGGCCCCAGGGCCGGTGCGCGGCCCCTCAAGCAGGCCAAGGAGAGAGAGACGCCATCGTGCGTGCTTGCTGGAGCAGATCGCGACGTCGGGAGCAGCCATCACGCCAGGTCCACGGCGGGAGGAAGCACATCGCGCCGCATCGCCGATGCGGCGCGAGCTCTCTGGCCCCATCTGCTCGCTGGCAGTGCTTGGGCGGCCTGGACGGTCTTCCTGCTCCTCCTCCTCCTCCTCAACCTCCTCCTCCTCCTCCTCCTCCTCCTCCTCCTCCTCCTCCTCAACCTCCTCAACCTCCTCCTCAACCTCCTCCTCAACCTCCTCCTGCTTCCTGATCCTCCTCCTCCTCCTCCTCCTCCTCCTCCTCCTCCTCCTCCTCCTCTACCTCCGAGGCTTGGGGCTCCGCCCCGTCGCCAGTCTGGACTACCTTCGGGGCCTGCCTCTGCGCAACCGCACACCTCACGCCAGGAGTCACTGGGAGAGAGAGATCCTCGTCACCATGGCTGGACTCGCCGCGAAATCCTGGTCAGAACGCCCTGCAGGATATGCCGCAGGGTCGAGTTGATAGATTACCCCTGGCACCTTTGATTTCCGAAAACTGACCTCGACCGAAGATGGATCGAAACGCCCGCGTGATCGTGGATCAATCGAATCGAGCCCCGTCCGTAGTCGAATCGATCGATGCGACACGCAGACATCGAAGCACATCATCGAGTCGATCGAATCATGGACAGCCCTGATATACCAGGCGATGTCGTCGTCGCCGCGCGGTTGGCGTCGACCCCCAACCAGTGGCGCACGTATTTCGAAACATACCACACGCCCGCGTCCATGCGCATATGCATCAAGAATATGCTTATCTGACATGCACGGCCGTGAGCACGCACAGCTGGCACACGCCTCCAGGCGCCAGAGGCGCCCACACATCGAGGAAAGCGCCTGGGGGCGGTGCCGAAACCAGCTGCATGCAGCCATAACTACCATAAACTCCCCGTTGCCCAATCTCCTTCTCGTCCGACCCAATGCAATCGACCCCGCGGCCGTTCCAAAGCGATCCAGAACGCTCTGGAACGGGCAACTAATGTTCTTCCTGTAACGGGCAGCTGATGTTCTTCCTGGAGGGGAAACAGAAACTTACCGATACGACCTCTCCAAAGGAGCCTTACCACCGGGATTACATAGCGGTTCCAACCGTGGCGACAAAGGACCCCAGGGAGACGCAAAAAGACGACACCGAAGGCCGAAGGCTGCGCGAAGGTGAAAAGAACGAAGACCCTTACAAGGTGGATATCCCTGCCAGGCAAGGGTTGTTCATAGAAGGTACCAAAATCGGCATAAACATAAACGTTGACGGTCCGCGCGGATTTCTTGGATCTGCGCTGACAACCCCCCCTGGCGCGCGGAGCGCGCCAGGAGCGGCGCCCGAGGCGCCGCCAGTGGGCTCCAGCGCAGATCTAAGAAATCCGCGCGGACCGCATAAACTTCCTGTTTACGCCGTTGTTTGTTCTTCGATCTATCGGCGGTGGACAAACCTCCCTTCAGTAAACCTCCCCTTAGTGAAAACGGCCTGGGACCGAAACCGACGGGCCTGGACCCGCAAAAATGACGGCCGCGACGCCCTCTCGCGAACCGAAAACGGCCGATTCCTCAATCGACGTGTCAGGGTAGGAGGTCTGTCCACCCCCGACGAGAAACTTCTCGGAAAGCCCGAGGTCATCCGAGCTTTTTTGGGGGAAGGCCCGCCCGCTCTGCAGTCCCCAGCAGGCTCCCTGCCAAAAGATGCCCGCGCGCGGACCTCGGAACGCTGTTTGTGCCATGGACCATTTTGCCCTGTGGGGGAGGAGATCTGACCTCCAGGAATCAAGGGCTCCCAACTTCGCGCTTCGCGCTGCGCGAAGCGCGAAGTGCGAATAACTTCGCGCTCTCGCGCCGCCTCCCAGGGTAGAAGGGGAGGATGAGGAGGAATCGGAGCCGAACCGCGAAGCGCGAAGCGCGAATAACTTCGCGCACTCGAGGGCGCCCTTGATCTGACCTCCAGGAATCCGGGCAAACGCGGGAACACGCGCGACAAGAAGTCGGGACAACTCGTCCACCCCCCCCCAAGTGCACGGCCTCAGAGTCCCGAGCCCTTCCCTGAAGCCGGCCGGCCACGACTGGGGGCGCTGTGGTCCCTACCCCCCTGGGGGAACCCATCGCATCGACGATCTCTCGAGAGGGGTGTCGAGGTGTCGAAATCGATGGGTCCCCCAGGGGGGTAAGTCGGGTCGGGCGAAAGGGGGGGATAGCAAAGTGGGGGTTTGAGAATCAGCTCACGTAGCTGATTTTCCCGGCGCCTCCCGGCGCCGGAGGTGGCCATGTATCGAGGAATGGGCCCCTCGGTGAGGCCGAAATCAGCTGCATGCAGCAAATTTCGTAACCCCCCCTTTCCCAATCCCCCCCTTTCGCCCGGCCCGAACCACAGCGCCCCCAGTCGTGGCTGGCCTGCAAAGGGCGTGCCTCGCCCCGGCCCCGCTTCCCTTGCAGGCTCCGCGGCCCGACGACGGGCCCCCGGGCGCCGGCCGCGAGGAGAGACGCCCAGGCCTGCAGAAGAAGCAGGTCGTCGGAGATCTGGGCCTCCTCCTCCACCTCCTCCTCCTCCTCCTCCTCCTCCTCCTCCTCCTCCTCCTCCTCCTCCTCCTTTTCCTCTTCTTATCATTAGTATTATTAGTATGATCATTCTTCTTCTTACTATGATTAGTATTATTACTTATTATTAGTAGTATTATTATTAGTATTATTAGTATTATTAGTATTACTAGTAGTAGTATGATTATTAGAATTATTATTGTTCTTATGATTAATATTATTATTATTATTAGTATTATTATTATTCCTCCTCCTCCTCCTCCTCCTCCTCCTCCTCCTCCTCCTCCTCCGTTTCCTCATCCTCCTCTTCTTCCTCCTCCTCCTCCTCCACCACCATCTCCTTCTCCTCCTCCTCCTCCGCCTCCTCTCGGGATCAGCCCGGCTGCTGCTGGCATCTTCCCTGATCCCGCGTCGAGCTTTGCTGGACGTATGCTTTTGCCCACGCGCCCACTGGCGTATGGCTTGCTCTGTTGAAGGGACCCTGGGACACACAAATAAATACACACAAAAAACAGGATTCCCCATATGTTCCCATATTTTCACATATTTTCTGGGTTTCCCCCCCAATTCCCATATCTTTCCATATTTTCCTGGGAGTCGACGATGAATTGTGTCTCTGTGTTTGTTCACCTCCTGATCTGTTCTGCTCTGC